AATGTATTTTGAACTGAAACTTCCCAGACAAATTCTAGGAACACCAGAGACTTGTGTTAGATCTTTAAAAAAAGCTTAATGTAATCTTTTGGAGGGAGTTTGGAGAGATATTGAGTGTGAGGTTTAAAATTGCTTTTAAATGGCCAGGGCTTGTGATTGAAGTGCCACCTTCTTGAACTCAAAGTGGTGCAATTCCTCTGAACCTTGAAAATGTAGGTACAATTGTGTGATTTCTGTCAAATTGGTTTGAGATCTGAACCCAAATGGCTTCTAAGAAACCAGCCAACTGCAGAAAGCAGTTCTTAGTCCCAATTACAACAAGGTCTTGTTTGGTCATTTGACGTCAGAAAGCAAAATGCGTATGTTTCCTTTAGCCAGAGCAGAGTTTAGCGGCTATATTCTCAGATATCCTCACACTTCAGCCAGCTGTGGTCTCATAATGAGCTCTAATCATGCAGAAGATACTGCAGTAATCTGCTCTGGTCAGCTAGAAGCCCAGAGAGCCCTTTATCCCAGCTTAGTCCCGTCACTCTAATGTACATGGATCAACACACTGTGATCAGAGATGTATTCTCTCTTGTTCTTCATTTTTGTAAATGCATTCCAGTAGTGCCAAATTCACTTTATCATTTTTGCATTTTGAATTATAATAAACCAAAACCGTAAGAAGAAAATTAATTGCTTAAGTTCTTGTCTGTACTAGCATTAGGTTAAATTCAGAACTAAAGAATTGGTCTCTTATGGTCGTAAGTTGTCATTTGGATTGTAATAGTAACACAATATGGGAAGTTAATTAGCAATTTTATCTGAAATGACAAGAAAAACAATTCTGTCTGTATGGATGGATCTCAAGATTATTCTATTTTTTCAAAGGGCAACCAGAAATCTCTTATTTTATTCTGTTGCTCTGTTATTCTCTTTGTTGGAAAGGCCTGTACACCTTCAGAACTTCAAGGCTTTTTAACATTTCTTTTTTCAAAACATCTAAAACTTTTTTTCAAGCCAACATATATCCTGACAGACCTTTTCTACAGTAGTTAAAATTACATTTTAATTTTAATATGACATCAAATGAAAGTTCTGCATTTAAAATTGATGGGAAAATAACATCCTTGATTTGCAATGTTATTGTTTATATTTTGTTTAATTACAAGTCAGGCTCTCATTTAGGCCTAGTCCCCCTAGAATAATAAAACAATTTTTTTAATTTACTCATCTATGATGTAGGTGAATTTATTTATCTAGTGGAATGTTATTGATTTTAGCTGATTCTACAAATATGTAAATGTCTGCTAACATTTTAGAACTTTGTGTGTATGTGTATACTCTCCCTGACAAAAGTTTGTCATTGATCCCAGTTGTAAGAGCAACAAATAATAACTTTTTTTCTGATCAATCCTCTGTTGAACTGCATCCTAATCACGACAAATACTTCAGAAGTTCTATGAAAATCGCATGGACCCAAGATTCTCAACGAAATTAGTCAAGTTTGCTGAAGGGAAAATCATGGTTTGGGGTTACATTCGGTATAGGAGCATGCGAGTGATCTGCAGAGTGGATGGCAACAGCCTGAGGTGTCAAGACATTTGTGCTGCCCATTACATTACAAACCACAGGAAAATGCAAATTCATCAGCAGGACAGTGCTTCTCCTCTTACTTTAGCTTCCACCTGAAAGCAAAGAAGGTCAGGGTACTCGAGGATTGGCCAGTCACTAGACGTGAAAATTATTGAGCATGTCTGGGGTAAAATGGAGAAGGAGGCATTGAAGATGAATTCAAAGAATCTTAATGAACTCTGGGAATTTTGCAAGAATGCTTTCTTTGCCATTCCAGATAACATGATTAATAATGAATATTTGAGTCATTGCAGAGATGTATTGATGCAGTCCTTCAAACTCATGGGAGTCAAACACAATATTAATTCTTTTTTCACTGCAGCATGACTTTATTTTCTATACTGTTCATTATTTCTGTTAAGTGACTAGACTTTTGTCTAAGCAAAGTCAGACCTTACTGTCCTAATTAAATAATTAAAAATCAAAGCATGATCATATTTTATTTTGGTAAAATAAGCATAATCTAGAGGTATTTGCCTTTCATATAAGCCACTTCTGATACTAAATGATCAACAAGAAGTCAATTATTATTTGTTTTTTCCTAAAACTTGGATAGGCCACAAGATTCTTGTCAGGTAGTGTAGTGTATATGAGCAAATGATTAGTCTGTGCAAGAAACTAACATTTCCAAAATTATTACCTCTAATCCACTGTCCAGCAGTGTAAATTAACAACAAGTTTCTATTTTTTGGGGGGTGAACTACTAATTAAATGAGTCTTTGTAATTTTTTTTGGGTTTCACTCTTCCAGAGTGACGTTAAAATGATTTTACACTTTGTAGGACAACGAAAGACCTTTCTCTCCATAGACATGTTGGTCCTTGCCTGTTTTGTTTACGCTTTTCTTGCCCACTTGTTTGTTTAATGATTAATTCTGCTGCGGTTTTATTGGAAAATCAGGGTTAATAACTTTCCTTAGACTGGCCGAGGGGGTGGAAGATGGCAGTGGCTTTAACTTTGCAGGCGTCAATGAGCAAACCTTGCTCCTATGACAACCGTGCGATTCAGCCACAAGTTTCGAAAGATTATTTTACTTATTTGATATGTTATGGCAACCTGAGCTGCTTTCATTGAAAGCAGTATAGAACCTTGAAGTGAATGTATGCTGTGGCCGAGAAAGTCATCATTGTCAAAGAACAGAAAAAAATGTCTCTACATGTATCCTATTAAGTGACTCATATAAGAGAAATATTATGGAAATATTCCAGGTTCAATACAAGTGAGCTCAGTGTACAACAATATAAAGTGATGGAGTTCATTTTGCATTTAAATATGAATATCAAGAAAAAGTGTTGGTCACAATTTATTTTAAATTACAATGTGTGCTATTAACAAACTATTTACTATCACTTTTAACTCAATAAACCACTGCTAATAATAGTTAGTTTGGTAGTAGTTGGGTGTAGGTATTGGTTAGGATAAGGGATGTAAAATAGGAGCACACGTTATAAGTTATTATAAATAGTTAATAGGCAGATAATAAGGCAGTATTAAATATATAAAACTAAAACTAAACCTAAGTTACCCAGATGTTTTATCTATCTTCAAAGTTTGGTCAAAATATTTAATATGTGGAAGACTTTAAGCGATTGCCTTTTTTTTTTTGTTTATTAATGTTTATGTAATGTAGAAATTTACAAATGTTTTTTGTTTGTTTGTTTGTTTGCTTGCTTGCTTGTTTGTTTGTTTGTTAGTCATACCTCGTCAGACATAAAATATTTACATTAAGTGCCCCTGAGAAAGTTAATGTATGAATAATTTCACAACATATTTGCATATTCATAGTTTTCTGATATCTGTTAATGTTCACACTGACATGCAGGTAAACAGATAAATGATTAATACGTTTAGTGTTTTGGAATTTTATTTTAAATATTTTTGAATCAGTTACTTTTTTATTGACTTGTAAGACTTTCTTTGTTTTCCCCAGTTTGGAAAACCCTTGTTTCTTTCGCTATGCTTTTTAAATCAGTGTCACACACCAATCCAAATTCATTTTTAAGTGAAGTTTCTCAAACTAATTTCGAGAGGAGCACCTGATATGATTGATCGCAGCTGGTCTCTCATCTGTAATCATTAGTTAGCCAATCAGATCATTACAAACTCACTATAAATAACCTGACAGGCATTACACCCTCATCTTCATTTTTTGAAGAATCCCTTCATCCACCCCATCTCCCCTTTTCCTCCTTCGAGAACTACCTGATCTCGTACCCCCTCACATGCTCATTGACCAGGAGGGAGCCCTGGGCTCAATTATCTCCGAGCTCAGGGTTATCTCCCGGGACAGCATGTCAAACCTGCTATTATTATCAAGCAATATCTAAGTGTGAAGTCTTGAAACTAGTTGGGTAAAAACGTAATCTAAATGTAATCCAAATGTCAACAGTACATTACATAAAATGTTTAATTTATTCTAACTACAATTTTCAGGAAGTAATTTGTAAACTGTTTGCTTTTTAAATCTGTGGGTCACAGCAGTTTAATTTAAATTTAATTTTAAAAATAGTTGAGTAAAAAAGTAATCTAAATGCAATCAAAAAGTAAACAATAAATGACCTAAAATATTTAATTGTTACCAATTACTATTTTCAGGAAGTAATTTGTCATTTGTATGCTTTTTGAATCAGTTTAGTTCTACCTTGATTTCTAAACTAGTCGGGTGAAAATGTAATCTAAATGAAATCCTAAAGTAATATATTAGCTAAAATGTGTAATTGTTACTAAGTACAATTTCCAGAAAAGTGATTTGTAAACTTTAAAGGACTGAAACAACTTTACAGTTTAGGTTGACTTGTAAACCTCACATTTCTGCATTTTATTCTATAAAATTAGCCCCATTCACCTCTATTTTTCAAATAGTCATAGTCACTCAATCATCATGGATCTTGCATTTTAAACCCACAATATATCTTTAAGTAATGTTTTTAATTTGGAGTTTCCATGATGCAAATTCTATTTCTCTGAAATCAGTGACTCCAGTTAATGTGCATATTCATTAAGTAAATGTTTATTCAAGTGCCAAGCTGTGAGTTCTCGGGTGTCACTTGTCTCTGTGGACTTTTACCATGCAAATGGCCTTGAGTAAGGAAACCTGAGCCACACTGAATGATGAGAGCCCTTCGAAAAAACAGGAACCCAGTTTGCCTGTGGCCTTCTCTATAGGACGTCATTAGACATCCGTATCCATATTTAGCACATAGAATTCTCATTCAAACCAAAGCCAGAAGCCGATCTGAATTTCAAATCACACTATTGTCTGCAAGCATATGAAAATATGTTTTTGTTTTTCTGCCGTGTTTGTACTATGATTAGATTCGCTGGCAAAATCTCTGCATCTCAAGGAATGCTAATTTATTTTATTCTTTCCTCCATTTCTTGTAGGACCTCATGGCGAAAGTAAGAGCGATGCTTGCAGCATCCAAAGGCCTCCAGCCAAACCCCTCCTGAGAAAGTTAGACAACAACCTGGCAGGATCAGTCTCCAACATCTCACATGACAGACACAACCTTCTGACAAACCTCTGGACTGCTGTTCTCCTGCCGAGCCGCACAATGCTGGATGCTTTAATCCCTTTACGTATACCTGTATTGGACCTCTGCATTGGTTAGATGTTTTTATTTTGCCTCCAGAATAGTATTAGGCACAGAGATCTCCTATATTTTGGAGGTACAGGTGGAAACCAAGCAGGTGTAGAAAGAAATGAAGCCAAAAGCAGATGGTGGAACATTGGTCCTGCTGTGTGCAGCAACTAAAAAGAAGAGTTAAAGGTATAAATCCTCGGATGCAACAAAAAAACAAATTTAAATTGTGTTCTGATGACTGAGCTCTTTCCTTTGTAATATTGTGTCTTGCAGAGGGACACGGTTATATCCTTCCGTGAAGGATAATGCTGTTTATTTTTCGCACCCATCTCCTTTCCTCCCTCTCCGAGCTCTTTCAGATATGAATTCGTAGTCTTTTTTTTTTTTTTTGAATATGTGGCCTTCGGTTTTTCATTTCCAAGTTTGTACGAGCTTAATTTTGCAGCTACTTTGTAAAACCGTCAATAAAGTTATGAATTATCCAACGAGAATACGGTTGCCTTACTTTCCGTGAGCGACGTCTCGTCATGTTCGCCTCCTGCTCCGTCTGTTTTTCATTTCCTGCACCTGCGAGCTCTGGCCTTTGGAGCGTCTACGCATGTACTGCATCCCAGAATGCACTCTGCATGATAATTAGACCTCATGTTCTGTGGAAGGGACTGTATGAGTGCTGCTCTCCAGAGAGAGAGAGAGCGAACTGTGGGAATCATGGTCCATTTTAACTGAGCCTTTAATCTGGTGGCGGTTCAGCCCAAAGAGGCAGTGTGGGGAGTCTCATTTAGTCCTGCGAGAGAGTCAAATGGACTGGTTGGAGATCCCTAGAGCAGGTCGGTCCCATCCAAAACCATATTTACACTCCCTTCCAAACTCTCTTGACACGGAGAGCTTAACGCTTTCCCATGTTCAGATTATGTTGTGTCCAATTCAAGTGGCGTTTTCCTGGAAAAAGGGCTCAGAGGAACTGTTTGCTGCCAAAAAATAAATTCAAAATGTCCATCTGGCTTGTATTTTATTGATCATCTGGGTTTTCATCTATCGCTCGGTCCCTTAAGGTCAGTTATCCGTGAACAATCTAATCAGGGTACTAAATTTACTTGTCATTTTTTGATTAGCATTATATTAAAAAAAGGTTCTCGTTTGTAAATTGATGCTTAATGTTCCGTAATTGCAGCAATCAGGATAATTGTGATATGCGTTTTTTAAAAAGGGCAGCTTTGAACTACACTTAATAATCCCAGCTTTTTTTTTTATTTATTTATTTTTTTTGCTGTTGTTGCTCTCACATTGGAATTTAACAATCCTCGCTACAAATTGTTTGGATCTTTTAGGCAGGAATATGAAGCATATAATTAAATCAGCAGTGATCATGGATCATATGCAATGATCAATGATCATGTAACAGCACTAAAGAAATTCCAGCTTAGCAATCACAGGAATAAATAAAATATAAAAAAATAATAATAATTTCACTATTTTACTGTTTTTACAGAATTTTTTTGGTCAAATTAAAACAACCATGTCAAACAAATAAGCATAAATTCAGGGTATACGAGGGGTCTTAAAATTTTTAAGCTTTTAAAACAAAATTATACCTAAAGGGCCATGAAACCCCCTCGTTTCAGCAGGGTGTTTTCACACCTCTACTTTGGAAAAAGACAGAAAAGTGGGCGTGTCCAGCTCTGTTTAGGGGGGAGTGTCGGAGAAACCAAAAAGCTATGGTGTGGGAGTGTCTATTTGACCACGTGTTGAGTTTCAGAGTCAAAATACACACACACACACACACACAGGGGAGACATCTGTAATCGAATTATTTGCCAAATTGTTAATTGGTGGACTTTAACTGCAGTTTGGCTCTTTCATTCAGGGAATTAATTCATGCCCCTCGTGACAAACGAGATATTTGATTCGAGGATCTGCTCTAAGCGTGTATTTTTCATGCAATGTTTGATACCGCACGGCTAATGAGAGAACAAAAACCTCAGCATTTCCTGGAAACTTAGATGCACACGGCAGGTAGCGTCAGAAAGCCGCGTGTGTTATTCCGGTCACAAAATGCGGTGAAAATCCTACACGAGGTTAAAGTTTGGTTGTGGTGCTAACATGTTTACACTCGGTGCAATAATTAGTTCGATACGAACAAACAGAATAAACAAAGAGCGCTGGTCGCTCACTTACCAAATCTGTAGAGACAGGACAATCACCAGCAACGAGAGCCGCGTCTTTATTAAGAGGAGACTACAAGCGAATCCGGATCTCAGCTTTTGCAGATGAGAACAGCTCTCAGGTAAACAATAATCCTCCTTAGACACGTAAGTTATTGTTGTAGATCGTCGCGTACACTGTTAATCCACACGTGACTCTCGCTGCGCTCTCACAGAGAGAAAATGAAAACAAAACTTAACTGCAGCAAACTATAAAAGCAACACTTCACGCTTGTTTTGCCAACACAACGTGGTGTCTCCGTCTAAACACTGTGACAGTAATAAATATTAATGAAGTTGCACAATAGAGCGCGCTGATTGGTTTGAACCAAGCCTTACTCATGCATTAATGCAGCACACTCTGAAACGTAATAAGGCCCACTATGGCACAGACATCCACTCTGCACACTGGAATACAACGCTATTATCTCATGACTGTGACGCAGCTTCAAAAATTTGGTTCACACCAGAAGTACGAATTTGCTTGAAATAACGCAAAAACAACCAATTTACACTTTTTAGTGAAATATAGGTGACCTAATAGTGTTTTAGCAGTGTGGGACACATACAGTATACGACTGTCAACAGCTCAAAAATGTGTTTTGGTGTTTCGTGACCCTTTAAAGTCTTAAATTCACTGATATGTTGTTTTTCAGTTCTTAAATTATTTTAAGCAGGCATTTGTTTATGTAATTCTACCCAATTAGTCCAACACACATCCGTTCACCAACTATATTTTTTCTGTTAGGCCATTTTTTAAAAAACTTAGCGTTTAGCCCTAATTAAGTCTGAAATTTCATTCTTCATTGTCTTTAAAAGGTCTTAAAAAGTCTTAAATTTAACTTTTTGAAACCTGCAGAAACCCTGAAATGATGTCCTTCTAAGATGTTAAAATAAACAAATCATTAAAAATTATCCACAAATTCAAATTCAGACTGTTTTACCAATTGTTTAATTGACACTTTAAATATAATTGACTACATTTTCAAAAATATCTATTGCATTTTTATTTTAGTTTTTACTTACATTTCCATTGAACTCTTATTTATTAACTCAAAATACAACTTAATTTAACTGGAAATGTTCTGAGAGCTTTGACATTTACCACCTAACCAACCATTAAAATACATCATTTCGATGATTTCTCAAATTTTAGGAATTATGATAATTCCAACATGCGTCAATCCAGCTACATAAATGAGTAAAATGTTGTCCAGCGTACTGAAAAATAGTTTTATCATTAATAGTGTTCTTGTATTAAAGTACCAAATAATATGGAACTCATTACTAGGGTCAAACAGAATCTACAAACATTTTTGCTATTTCTGCTTAGAATTTAATATATTAAATATTATATACTTAATATATAAAATTATAAAAAAATAATACGTTTTTAACTTTTATTTAATGTTTACAATGCAAATCCAATTAGATGGTAAAGTCTAGATCGGATATGCGACAGGAAGTGCAATATGCACATCAATATAGCAGCATTTTGTATGACACTGTATAACAATAATTAATATTTTTACAGTACTGTGACGGTTGTGTTTAGGGTTGGGGTGGTATGGGAGTAGGCGTTCAAAAATACAATTCGTTGGGTAGTTTGATAGATAGCATAAATAATACACTACATTACAACTACTAATACTCTAATACTTTATAGTACAACTACTGTTTTTACATCAATGTGACGGTTGGGACAGGGGTAAACGTTAATAAAATACAACAAATGGGAAATTTAATAAATAATATAAATAATTCCCAGTAAACATATGTGATCTATAGCAACAACCCAATTAGATCCACTTAATTAGTAAATAAAGCAAGTCTGTCTTATAATATATCTACTAAAGACAGAAAATCTTACTTTACAAACTGTATTGTAAACATTTTTATATTAGTCAATAATATTACTGAAATTAATTTAAAAAAAATGAATAAATATATACACATTTACACAAGTAAATAAATAGACTCAATGATGGGCTAAAAGTCTGCGGAAGTCTCGGCATTACTACTTATTACTAGCCACCACAGACATTGTGTACACATCTACCTGTTAATATGCTTCAGCAAGGCTTACAAAGCCAGTTGTTCCCTAAAATGGAATTCATCCATTACAAAGACTTTGTTGTACTCAACCACCATGCCTGCGTTAAATGAGCTGTTGATTTCCAAAGTCTCTCTGACGGCCGTCATCCCTTCCAGATTTTCATTATTCAGTCTATCCCAATTTTATCCTTTTATCGAATTCACTTGCCCTCAACACTGCAGTTCTGAATCGAGGAAATAAAAGGCCTTGCTAGAGTGCCCGTTTCATTTGTCGCTAGTACGATATTTCAGCGTGACACGGTTGTTAAGGGCAATTTTCAGGCCAAGTCTTTATAGGCAATTAACTAATTATAATCATTAAATGGAAGCGTATTAGCCGGATTGAAATGGAAGACGCCATCTCTGCAGGGTTGTTTTTGGCATCGGCGTTGACCTGCTGTCAGATCCGCTATAGACAGACGACGAGTCGAGTATATGAGGCTCCTTCCAGCCCCGACGTCTTTTTTCTTTCTCGCTCGAGAGCCTCTGTTCATCATTACACACCAGCAATCTGCTCCGCCACAGCGAGTAAACACATATCTCATCTTCTTTTGGCCAAGGCTTCACTCATTTCAGGCTTGTAATGGCTGCAATATTCCCGGGTTGCCTCGTATAGCACTAAATAATGGATTTATAAGCAATTAAACGCACCTTATAACATCATTGATTTGATTCTGAAAGGCTGCTTTCAAGGTTTTGCCCACTCACAGCGTCTGAGTTTTTGTGCACGACAAATAAAACGGCTGTGAGGTGTCCAAGAAGTCACTCACAGGGCGGAATGAGAAGGCCGTTTGTTGACTTTATGAGTCTGAAATGCTGGAAGGAAAAGCATTTTGTAGGCAGTAGGTTTGATTTGTCAGTCGATCCTAGGGTAATATGTCGTTTGTTTTAGCACACGTTTGCAAAATCTGCCATCTTAAGTCAATTGCGTTGGGTTGAGAGTGACGTCTCATGGCCTGTTTTGAAGTTTTATGCATCGCACCGCAGCTGGAAACCCCGCTGGAATGAAAGGAGTCATGCGGCGACACGTTGGAAAACCAAGCTGGACCCGGTTGAGGATGTAAAATTAAAACTCCAGAAGCATGCGTTTGAGAGCTTTTGATTCTCTTGATGTGGTTATTCTGCAGAGGGTTGTTGCACTTTTCAAAGTTGTGGCCTGAACTCCTTTAGCTGCTTTGCTTGAATTTCCCACAAGGGAAAAGAAAATCTCAGCCAACTCTGATAAAGCCTGAATGTTATGAAACAGAAAGGCCTTTTTTGGGAACATTTCAGAGCGGGAAAAGAATATGCATGAAAAACTAAATCCTCAGCGGAATCATTTTATGTGATGGTAGGTGCTGTGAAGGGTTTTACTGTGGTAATTGAAATGTTTTCTCGCCCTTTATGCCTTGCAACGATTTATGTGATGCTCAACAGTTTTCAGCGTGCATTTTTACAACTTGAATCAAATGTTTGATGTGTTTGTATGAGCAGCTTTCAATCATTTATCAGGTGAAAAACTAGATGGGTTGTTGACGTGGTTGCGTTTTCACTGTCACATGACAAAAATCTATAAGATTGCTATTGTCATGCACTCAAAAAATGACATTTGTTGTTTGTTTAAACTACTTATTTAAAATGAGTTGAAACAACACCATTTCTGAGTTTTTTAGGGAATAAATCTTAACACATGTTCAATCCATTAAAAATTAATAAGGTAAC